AACTCTTGATTGAAAGTTATGTATATTTTTAATTGCAATATAATTTTTTTTTTTTTTTAAGGAAATAAATGTTCAGACAAATTTCCATGTGCATTAGCATCACTAGGGGTGAGCACGGGTTGCGGGTAGAACCGGAACCTGCGGGAAGAACCGGAACCGGAACCTACCTGGAACCAGCACTGTGTAGGTAGGTTCCACTTCCATTTTATTGGAATTGACATTGTGCGGTTCTGATTCTGGTTCTTATATGTGGAGAAATCAAAACTGGAAACCGAAACTGGAACATGGAAAAAGAACTTGGAACAGTTACCCGGTTTGGAACCTGTAGCGGGTACCCGATTTAGAACCTATTTGGAACAGATTTTTGGAACCTGTTTTGGAACTTGGGCTGCAATGAAATATTTGTGAATAATGAGGGGTTTCATTATTTTACATATAAAAAATGTTAAAATAGAAAAAAGTTAAATTTTTAGAATAACTTAATTAAATAAGTATACAATTATACTTATTCCATATAAACTACACCATATTAAAAATTTTAATATATTATAATATATTAATATTAAAGTTTTAATTAATTAAGTGTATAATTGAAATTAGGATCCAATTAAAAGTGTTTTAATGTTATTAAAAGAATTATTTTTGAATAAAATAGTATATTTGATTGAATAATAATATATTTAGTTATTTACTTCAATTATCAAGTTCTATGTACATTTATAGTAAATTAGTAATTAATTAATTATATATGATAAATTGATAAATATTAATAAATTTAATAACTAATTAAATATTATACTTAATCAATTATAACATTATATTATAGTTAAATAATTACTTAATTGATTTATAGTATATTTAATTATAGCATTACATTAATTGATTACTCTTTAATTAATTGACTTATAACATTTGGTATATTACTTAATTAAATAATTAAAAATTTAATTAATTATAACATTACATTATAGATTTATAGTATGATTACTTAATCAATTATAACATTTCATTATAAACATTAGTACAATACTTAATTAAATGATTAAAAATTTAATTAATTATAATATTATATTAAAGATTTATAGTATAACTACTTAATTCACTATAACATTACGTTATAGTATGATTACATAATTAATTATAATATTATATAATTAAATGATTACTTAATTGATTATGACATTATATTATAAATATTAGTAATTACTAATTTACTACATAAACATTAACACAATACTTAATTAAATGACTGTAAATTTAATTAATTATAACATTACATTATAAATTTATAGTATAATTACTTAACGAATTATTGATTATGACATTATATTATAAACATTAGTAATTACTAATTTACTACATAAATATTAGCACAATACTTAATTAAATGACTATAAATTTAATTAATTATAATATTACATTATAAATTTATAGTACAATTACTTAACGAATTGTAACATTACATTATAATTAAATGATTATTTAATTAATTATAACATTCTATTATAGACAAATTAATTATAATATTATGTTAAAGATTTATAGTATAATAACTTAATTAATTATAATATGATTACATAATTAATTATAATATTACATAATTAGATGATTATTTAATTGACTATGACATTATATTATAAACATTAATTATAACATTACATTATAAACAAATGATTACTTAATTAAATGATTAGAAATTTAATTAATTAAGCATTACATTATAATTAAATAATTATTTAATTAAATTATAACATTATTACATTATATTATATTATGATTACTTAATTAATTATAACATTATATAATTAAATGATGACTTAATTAGTTATAAATTTATAACATTACATTATAAACATTAGCAATTTACTACATTATTACATTACTTATTTAAAAGATTAAAAATTTAATTAATTATAACATTATATTATAGATTTATAGTATGATTAATTAATCAATTATAACATTCCATTATAAACATTAGTTTATTAATTAAATGATTAGACATTTAATTAATTACAATATTAAATTATAAATTTATAATATGGTTACTTAATTCATTATAATATTATATTATAATATGATCACATAATTAATTATAATATTACATAATTAAATGATTACTTAATTGATTATGACATTATATTATAAATATTAGTAATTTACTACATAAAAATTAGCATAATACTTAATTAAATAATTAGAAATTTAATTAATTATAACATATTAACATTATATTATAAACAAATTATTACTTAATTAAATTATTATGTAATTAATTATACCATTATTACATTACAATTACGTTATATTATGATCACTTAATTAATTATAGCATTACATAATTAAATGATTACTTAATTAGTTATAAATTTATAACAATACATTATAAACATTAACAATTTACTACATTATTATATTATTTAATTAAATGATTAAAAATTTAATTAATTATAAAATTACATTATAGATTTATAGTATGATTACTTAATCAATTATAACATTCCATTATAAACATTAGTACATTAATTAAATGATTAGAAATTTAATTAATTACAATATTAAATTATAGATTTATAATATAATTACTTAATTCATTATAACAATACATTATAGTATGATCATATAATTAATCATAACATTACATAATTAAATGATTACTTAATTGATTATAATATTATATTATAAATATTAGTAATTTACACAATACTTAATTCAATTATTAGAATTTTAATTAATTATAATATTACATTATAAATTTATAGTATGATTACTTAATTAGTTATAACATTCTATTATAAACATTAGTACAATACTTAATTAAATGATTAGAAATTTAATTAATTATAATATTACATAATTAAATGATTACTTAAGTAATTATAACATTATATTATAAACATTAAACATTAGTAATTCATTAAATGATTAGAAATTTAATTGAATATAACATTACATTATTGTTAAATAATTACTTAATTAATTATAACATTACATTATAGCATGATCACTTAATTATGTATAATATCACACTGTTAAATGATTACTTAATTAATTATAAATTTATAACATTACATTATAAACATTATTAATTTACTACATTAGTCATTAGTACATTACTTAATTAAATGGTTAAAAAATCTAATTAATTGTAACATTGCATTATAAATTTATAATATGATTACTTAATTAATTATAACATTACATTATAAACATTAGTATAATATTTAATTAAATAATTAGAAATTTAATTAATTATAACATTATATTAAAAATTTATAGTATGATTACTTAATTAATTATAACACTACATTATAATTAAATAATTACTTAATTACTATATTACATTATAAACATTAATAATTTATAACATTAAATTTACTATATTAGTATTTAGTAGTGGGAGAATCAAAGAAGTTGGTGACAGTTTCTAACTTTCTATATTATTGTTTGTTTGAATGATTTTGGTGAAGTTATTTGATGTGAATTGTGATAAATAATTGTTTGTGTTTTGGTTTTGATTGAGGAATTTTATGTGAATTGATTGAATTCAACCGTTGCCTAGAGATTAGAAGATTTATGAGTTACATTAGATACAAATGAATGAGTAATCAAAATTTGTTAGGGGTGTATTTGTAAACTTTTAAGGTATTTTTATCATTTTTTAAATTAATAGGGGGTAATTGATTTTTTACAGGGTACCCGGGAAAGGAACCAGAACTTGCATTTTAGGTTCCGGTTCCTTGAATTTAAGAACCTATACTGTGTGGTTCTGATTTTGGTTCCTCTAAAAATACAGGGTACCCAGAACTGTTCACTCCTAAGCATCACCCATCTCATCAATATATGTTATTTCCTGCAGTGATGTTGAAATAATAATCAATACACCAGCTTTGGTAATGCCCACTTCATTATCTCGTTTCCTTTTAATTTACTTTTATCTGCATTTCAAATATCCAAAATAGAAGCACTGTAATATCATTTGTATTTATAGGAAAAGACTTGGACATTATCTAGCGGGAGCCTTCAAATAATTTTCTCCAAATTCTCATTAATAGATAATAGAAGTAAATAATTGTCTCCGATTGAGAAATGAAATTAATATAAGATGACATATGATTGCAAAACTGGAATTTATCATGCTGTTTCGATAAACGATATCAATAAAAATATTATCCATCAAATCAAATCTTTAGTTTGCAAAACCAAAGTGGGCAGTTGACGTTAGGAAAGTATCCCTAATAACTCTCTGTTACCCAAATATATCAGATCATAATAAGAAAAAAGACAGAATCTTTGCTTGGCTGTGCAAGTAGGTGTTGGCGTGGGCTTAGGTGCTGCTGGTTTTGTAGGTATTGGATCTGCGTTTTCTGATGGAGTTGAAGGAAAGAGAAAGAGAAAGTGAGAGAAGAGAGGAAGGGAAAAAATAGTAAAAGAAAAAACAAACTATTCTATTAATTTAACTTAAATAAAATGATTATAGAGTCTGACCTTTAGATAGTCCATGTTTTATATCATGATAAAAAACAAAATAGTAAGTAGTTGGATATCTAATTCTTAAGGATGAAAACAGAAAGTTTACAAGAGCAGAGCACGCCCGTGAAGAGTGTTTTTGTCTTACTCCACTTCATCTCCATCTTCTCTTCCTTCTCTCCTCATTAACAATACTCATCTCCCTCTCCTTAACATCTTCCCTTCTCTCTTCTAACAAATACCAATAAACAGAAGTATTTGTATTTTATTATATATACATCGTTTTAATTAGTCTTGTAATCAGTGCTTGAGAAGAGAGGGATATAGAAGAGGTGGCATCCAGAACTTCTTTTATTTTTCATTCTTTTGGGTATTCCATGGGTTTATGTTGAGAAGTTACCTGATTTGACTTGGTTTTAACTTGATCTATGAATTAGCTGTTTTGTCTAAGAAGATGGTAATGTTGTTTTTTGTATTCCTTTTCATGTTAAGTGAACAAAATGTAACCTTTACTATGCATGGTTTGTTAGGTATGGCTCCCAACAAGGTGTATTGCGCTGTTATTTTGTTGTTTTTCTTCTGTGGAGCGGCTTCGGTCTCCAACAGAAATCAGAAAGCAGAATTGGTTGTTAATGCTTCTGGAGGCAGGCAGATTCCTGAAACATTCTTTGGAATATTCTTTGAGGTAGTTTATNTATATTAACTTCCTTTGTTGCTTATGGACTATAACTTTAGAGAGTAAAATAATCACTTAAAAGAAAAAACAATGAGGACCACCAAACTTTCAATGCTTTTTTTCCTTCTTCTTGTTGATTATGTTATCAGGTAATGTATTCTTCTTAATATTATGAATTAAGTTTTGTATTTTTCATTATTTTTAATTATTTACATATAATGTTTAATTTATTTACTGATAAGATGATTTTATGAAATGAATTATATAGATATTTTATTAAATATAATGTTTTTTCATCTTTTAACTATTGCTCTAATATTTGATTCATTTATATGCTAATATGATTTTAATAAAATGAATCATATATATGTTAGCATGGTAGGTCTATATTAGTTATTTTAAGTCAATAATATGTATTATTACTCTATATATTTTACAGCTACAGTTGACATGATAATTGTAATTTATAGGGACAATGTTTGATGAAGCACAGGCACATACCTTTTCTCGGGAATTGTACAAAGGCTCAATGTCTTCACGCTTGCATGAATAAGTATAGGGTTTCAAGTAAAATCATTATCAGTGCTGGATGTTATGATATGATCCTCTACTGATGTTATTCAAAGGTCCCATTAATAAAGAAAATTTAAGGGAGAACGACATTTTCCCACCCAAGGTTTGGTGAAATGACACTTTCCCACCTTTTAAGTTTCAAAATTACACTTCCCACCATTCGTTAGGTTCTGTTATATTTTCCGTTAATATTTTATTAAAAAGACAAAAATTTATAATTTTTTTCATAATATAATATTTTTCATTTTTACTAATTAACATAGAAAATCTATAGTCATAATTGATTAAATAAACAAAGGAAAAAAGATATCTTTACACTTAAACTAATAAATGATTGAGTAAAGATTTTGACTTATCTAAATTTTAATTTATAATAAACTAATTAAGAAATAAACAATTTAAGGGTTTTTTCGTCTTTTTAGTCAAATATTAATAAAAAAAACACTAACAAAACCCGACGAAGGTTGGGAAAGTGTCATTTTGAAACTTGACGGATTAGAAAGTGTCATTTTGCCAGATGTTGGGTGAGAAAATGTTGTTCCCCCAAAATTTAACTTATATATTTGTCTCTCATGTCCCTTTTTTTAACATTAATAAAAAGCTTGTACTTACAAGTATTTGTAAATTAAATAAAGCAACAAATAAGGTTAGTGTTGTATCATGATTAAATAATAACAAATTAACCAAGTATATAAATTATTATTAGACTCATTCTTTTGGTGAGTTCCTTTCATTATAAATAATTTTCCACGACCACCTAACTATAATCTACAATAGTAAAAATTACATCCAAAATACGTAAGTGGGTTTAATGATATTATAAAAAAAAAAAAACAGTGTATAATAATATAAACTAAAGGTGTAGAAGATTTGTTTTAATGCTGTGAGTAGTTTTTTAGTACAACTTCTTGAATCTCAACTCTTGATTGAAAGTTATGTATATTTTTAATTGCAATATAATTTTTTTTTTTTTTTAGAAATAAATGTTCAGACAAATTTCCATGTGCATTAGCATCACTAGGTGAGCACGGGTTGCGGGTAGAACCGGAACCTGCGGAAGAACCGGAACCGGAACCTACCTGGAACCAGCACTGTGTAGGTAGGTTCCACTTCCATTTTATTGGAATTGCATTGTGCGGTTCTGATTCTGGTTCTTATATGTGGAGAAATCAAAACTGGAAACCGAACTGGAACATGGAAAAAGAACTTGGAACAGTTACCCGGTTTGGAACCTGTAGGCGGTACCCGATTTAGAACCTATTTGGAACAGATTTTTGGAACCTGTTTTGGAACTTGGGCTGCAATGAAATATTTGTGAATAATGAGGGTTTTCATTATTTTACATATAAATGTTAAAATAGAAAAAAGTTAATTTTTAGAATACTTAATTAAATAAGTATACAATTATACTTATTCCATATAAACTACACCATATTAAAAATTTTAATATATTATAATATATTAATATTAAAGTTTTAATTAATTAAGTGTATAATTGAAATAGATCAATTAAAAGTGTTTTAATGTTATTAAAAGAATTATTTTTGAATAAATAGTATATTTTGTGAATAATTATATTTAGTTATTTCTTCAATTATCAGTTCTATTTACATTATAGTAAATTAGTAATTAATTAATTAATTGATAAATTGATAAATTTAATAAATTTATAACTAATTAATATTATAATCAATTAATCCTTATATTATAGTTAATAATTACTTAATTGATTTATAGTATATTTAATTATAGCATTACATTAATTGATTACTCTTTAATTAATTGACTTATAACATTTGGTATATTACTTAATTAATAATTAAAAATTTAATTAATTATAACATTACATTATAGATTTATAGTATGATTACTTAATCAATTATACATTTCATAAAACATTAGTCCAATACTTAATTAAATGATTAAAAATTTAATTAATATAATATATATTAAGATTTATAGTATAACTACTTAATTCACTATAACATTACGTTATAGTATGATTACATAATAATTAATATTATTAATTAAATGATTACTTAATTGATTATGACATTATATTATAAATTTAGTAATTACTAATTTACTACATAAACATTACCACATACTAATTAAATGACTGTAAATTTAATTAATTATAACATTACATTATAAATTTATAGTATAATTACTTAACAAATATTGATTATGACATATATTATAACATTAGTAATTACTATTTACTACATAAATATTAGCACAATACTTAATTAAATGACTATAATTTAATTAATATAATATTACATTAAAATTTATGTACAATTACTTAACGAATTGTAACATTACATTATAATTAATGATTATTTAATTATTATACATTCTTTATAGACAAATTAATTATAATATTATGTTAAAGATTTATAGTATAATAACTTAATTAATTAAATATGATTACATAATTAATTAATATTACATAATTAGATGATTATTTAATTGACTATGACATTATATATAACATTAATTATAACATTACATATAAACAAATGATTACTTATATAAATAATTAGAAATTTAATTAATAAGCATTACATTAATTAAATAATTATTTAATTAATTATAATAACATATACATTATATTATATTATGATTACTTAATTAATTATAACATTATATAATTAAATGATGACTTAATTAGTTATAAATTATAACATTACATTATAAACTTAGCAATTTACTACATTATTACATTACTTATTTAAAAGATTAAAAATTTAATTAATTATAACATTATTTATAGATTTTATAGTATGATTAATTATCATTATAACATTCCATTATAACATTAGTTTATTAATTAATGATTAGACATTTAATTATTACAATATTAAATTATAATTTATATATGGTTACTTAATTCATTATAATATTATATTATAATTGATCACATAATATTATAATATTACATAATTAATGATTACTTAATTGATTATGACATTATATTATAATATTAGTAATTTACTACATAAAATTAGCATATACTTAATTAATAATTAGAAATTTAATTATATAACATTAACATTATATTATAAACAAATTATATTACTAATTAATTATTAGTAATTAATTATACCATTATTACATTACAATTACGTTATATTATGATCACTTAATTAATTATAGACATTACATAATTAATGATTACTTAATTAGTTATAAATTTAAACAATACATTATAACATTAACAATTTACTACTTTATTATATTATTTAATTAATGATTAATTTAATTAATTATAAAATTACATTATAGATTTATATTATGATTACTTAATCAATTATAACATTCCATTATAAACATTAGTACATTAATTAAATGATTAGAAATTTAATTAATTACAATATAAATTATAGATTTATAATATAATTACTTAATTCATTATAACAATACATTATAGTATGATCATATAATTAATCATAACATTACATAATTAAAGATTACTTAATTGTTATAATATATATTATATATTTAGTAATTTACACAATACTTAATTCAATTATTAGAATTTTAATTAATTATAAATTTACATTATAAATTTATAGTATGATTACTAATTAGTTATAACATTCTATTAAAACATTAGTACAATACTTAATTAAATGATTAGAAATTAATTAATTATAAATTACATAATTAAATGATTACTTAAGTAATTATAACATTATATTATAAACATTAAACATTAGTAATTCATTAAATGATTAGAAATTTAATTGAATAAACATTACATTATTGTTATAATTACTAATTAATTATAACATTACATTATAGCATGATCACTTAATTATGTATAATATCACACTGTTAAATGACTTAATAATTATAAATTTAAACATTACATTATAAACATTATTATTTACTACATAGTCATTAGTACATTACTTAATTAAATGGTTAAAAAATCTAATTAATTGTATGCATTATAAATTTATAATATGATTACTTAATTAATTATAACATTACATTATAAACATTAGTATAATATTTAATTAATAATTAGAAATTTAATTAATTTAACATTATATTAAAAATTTATAGTATATTACTTAATTAATTATAAACTACATTATAATTAATAATTCTTAATACTATTTACATTATAACATTAATAATTTATAACATTAAATTTACTATATTGTATTTAGTAGTGGAGAATCAAAGAAGTTGTGACAGTTTCTAACTTTCTATATTATTGTTTGTTTGAATGATTTTGGTGAAGTTATTTGATGTGATTGTGATAAATAATTGTTTGTGTTTTGGTTTTGATGAGGAATTTTATGAATTGATTGAATTCACCTTGCCTAGAGATTAGAAGATTTATGAGTTACATTAGATACAAATGAATGAGTAATCAAAATTTGTTAGGGGTGTATTTGTAAACTTTTAAGTATTTTTATCATTTTTAAATTAATAGGGGGTATTGATTTTTTACAGGGTACCCGGAAAGGAACCAGAACTTGCATTTTAGGTTCCGGTTCCTTGAATTTAAGAACCTATACTGTGTGGTTCTGATTTGGTTCCTCTAAAAACAGGGTACCCAGAACTGTTCACTCCTAAGCATCACCCATCTCATCAATATATGTTATTTCCTGCAGTGATGTTGAAATAATCAATACACCCTTTGGTAATGCCCACTTCATTATCTCGTTTCCTTTTAATTTACTTTATCTGCATTTCAAATATCCAAAATAGAGCACTGTAATATCATTTGTATTTATAGGAAAAGACTTGACATTATCTAGCGGGAGCCTTCAAATATTTTTCTCCAAATTCTCATTAATAGATAATAGAAGTAAAAAATTGTCTCCGATTGAGAAATGAAATTAATATAAGATGACTATGTTGCAAAACTGGAATTTATCATGCTTTTCGATAAACGATATCAATAAAATAATTTCCATCAAATCAAATCTTTAGTTTGCAAAACCAAAGTGGGCAGTTGACGTTAGGAAAGTTCCCAATAACTCTCTGTTCCCCAATTATCAATCATAATAAGAAAAAGACAGAATCTTTGCTTGCTGTGCAAGTAGGTGTTGGCGTGGGCTTAGGTGCTGCTGTTTTTGTAGTATTGGATCTGCGTTTTCTGATGGAGTTGAAGGAAAGAGAAAGAGAAAGTGAGAGAAGAGAGGAAAGAAAAATAGTAAAAAAAACACAACTATTCTATTAATTAACTTAATAAATGATTATAGAGTCTGACCTTTAGATAGTCCATGTTTTATATCATGTAAAAAAACAAAATAGTAAGTTTGGATATCTAATTCTTAAGATGAAAACAGAAAGTTTACAAGAGCAGAGCACGCCCGTGAAGAGGTTTTTGTCTACTCCACTTCATCTCCATCTTCTCTTCCTTCTCTCCTCATTAACAATACTCATCCCCTCTCCTTAACATCTTCCCTTCTCTCTTCTAACAAATACCAATAAACAGAAGTATTTGTATTTTATTATATATACATCGTTTTAATTAGTCTTGTACCAGTGCTTGGAAGAGAGGGATATAGAAGAGGTGGCATCCAGAACTTCTTTTATTTTTCATTCTTGGGGTACCATGGGTTTATGTTGAGGTTACCTGATTTGACTTGTTTTAACTTGATCTATGAATTAGCTTTTTTTTGTCTAAGAAGATGGTAATGTTGTTTTTTGTATTCCTTTTCATGTTAAGTGAACAAAATGTACCTTTACTATGCATGTTTGTTAGTATGGCTCCCAACAAGGTGTATTGCGCTGTTATTGTTGTTTTTTCTTCTGTGGAGCGGCTTCGGTCTCCAACAGAAATCAGAAAGCAGAATTGGTTGTTAATGCTTCTGAGGCAGGCAGATTCCTGAAACATTCTTTGGAATATTCTTTGAGGTAGTTCATTGTTAGCTTGCACGTGTAGTTTATATATTTTTTTTTATCCATTTATTGGTAGACTTGCACTACACTTACATACTACTTAAATTTGGCTACTATTTATTAAATACATAAGTGAGAAAAGTAAGGCAGTAAAGAAACTAATTATCCATATTACTGTGTTTTTCTCCGAGATCAATCATGCGGCTGGTGGATTGTGGGCAGAGCTTGTGAGCAACGAGGTCATTCTTTATTCTTCTATCTATATATTTGTTTGTAGCTAAGTTACATGCTGGATTGTCAGCGTGTATTGTAATGGTGTTTATATAAACATCAGGCTGTTATTGCTTTCTCTCTTTCATTTCTTAGTTTCTCTTAATTTCTCAGACATTTTGCGTGAAATGTATTTAACAAGCCCATAATGTATTAAAGCATAAGCTACCCAATTGTTTTTAGGGATTTATATTTTACAATTTGTTTGGATATATATATATTGAGGTTTTTAATGAGGTGTTTATTTCAGGTTTTGAAGCTGTAAGACAAAACAAATCCTTGAATATTCACCCTTGGTCTCTAATCGGGGATGAATCATCTATAATTGTTTCAACTGACCGATCATCATGCTTCAAGCGGAATAAGATTGCACTTCGAATGGAGGTACTTTGTGATGGTGATACGTGTCCTGTTGGAAGAGTTGGTGTCTATAACCCCGGATTCTGGGGAATGGTAAGAAATAGTTTATCTTAATTACACACAAAAAGTAAATGAATTTGAATATGTTGTTTTAAATCTTAATTATTAATTATTTTATTCTCTTTCTTGTAGGACATCAAACAAGGGAAGATTTACAAAATTGTCTTTTACCTCCGTTCATTGACCTCAGTTAATATATCAGTATCTTTAACGAGCTCGGATGGATTGCGGACGCTGGCCAATACCAATCTCATGTGAGCATTATAATTAATTTGCTTTTCTTCTGCAAAGATTTTTGTTTATTTATATTTTTGAGTTTAATTTGATTTCATTGTAGTGCTTCCGCTGGTGATGTCTCAAATTGGACAAAGATGGAAACTTTGTTGGAAGCTGAAGAAACAAATCCAAATGCAAGACTTCAACTGAAGACTTCAAAAAAGGGGGTAATGTGGATTGATCAAGTCTCAGCCATCCCCTTGGACACATACAAGGTAATTACAAAAGAAATTCAACATGCAGTCTTCCTTAAATTTAAGCCCTCGTTTTTTCTTTTTTCTTTTTTTTTTTTTTTTTTTTTAGGATGGAGTTAACTATTGTTTCAAAATGAACTTCTGGTTTGTCTTTTGAAGCTGAATGATAAATGTAAACTTTGCATCTAGGGGTTTTGCTTTTGTTTGAACATAATTTTTTCAATGCATTTCTTCTTATTACTTAGTGACTAGTAATTACCTTCCACATGTGTCTAAGGCTTTCTGTACCTGTCGCAGAGTCATGGCTTTAGAAATGATCTTTCTGAAATGATTGCAAATCTCAAACCTCGATTCCTGAGATTTCCAGGTATATAAAGATTTATTGACGTAGAAACTTCTTTGCTCAAGTGAAGTTGTTTCATGTTAAATTATCACATTAGAAAATCTTGTCTTTCATTTGACGTTTGCGATTGATATTGTGTTTCTTATATTAATATTTGGAGTTGCCTTAAAAATGTATTTTAATTCAACTTGTTTTCTATTAATGCCTTTATGCTATCTATTTTATATTAAGTTGTTATCTATTAATGCCTTTATTTAAACAAATATATAGTTTATTTACTCATTCGTCTTTGTGTGGGCATAACTTTTTTCCAAATGCTTTTCTTAAACCAAAGTTTTAGAGGTTCTTGTAATGGATAAAAGGTTGGATATCATTGTTCAATTTGTAAGAGTTCCTTGTAAATATAAATTGTTTGCATTACACTTCATTCATTTCGTTATACTGAATGCTTTATATACATGTGTACATGTGTTATATAAAATTGACCTTTAATGTTGTAAGATATACAATTTAAAATTTAAAATTTGTCATTTAATAAAACAAATGCTGATAACTTGAAACAAACGTAAACGAAAGTGAAGGAGTACTATTCTTGTAGTTAGATTTATTCTTTTCTAGTTTCTCTTGTGTGAAAAGGCAAAGGTTGGCTGAGTTGTTACGTGAAGTAGAATTTCAACTATTGAGACAAATTTACTCCTTTAATATTTTTAATGGATTGGACATTTTTAACGTTCGGATCTGATTCTATGCCTTGAGGATATAAATTGTTTCAAAAGTTTGTAATATGATGTTTCATTTATATACTAAATTAGCTTTGGCTTGAATCTTGTCCAAGTAAGCAAATATAAAAATTTCTAGAGTTCACCGCATATTTCCTTTGATTGGCTTTATCGAATCCCTGCTCCTTACCTATCTTAATCTCTTTATTTGTGTTCAGTAATTGTAGTTATATTCATTGCTCAGAAATTCAAATATGAATAATGCCTTATTTTCTTATTATGTTACATCAGGTGGCAATTTTGTTGGAGGAGATCTTTTAAGAAATGCCTTCCGTTGGAAAGACACCGTTGGACCTTGGGAGGAGAGACCTGGGCATTTTAATGATGCATGGAACTATTGGACGGATGATGGACTTGGCTATTTTGAGTTTCTTCAAGTATGTATTTGTGTCTTATTTGGAGGAGAAATTTTATTTTTGTTCTTAATACTTCAAAGAATTTCACTTATACTCCTTTAAGTAGGTAAATAAAGTAAAAGTTTAATTCTTGTTTGTGCAGCTATCTGAAGATCTTGGTGCATTGCCGATATGGGTGTTTAATAATGGTAATGATGGATATGCTTGTTTTTTTCCTCCAAGTGGCCTATGTGGTTGATTTATTTTTCACTTATATATTTTATAAATTTTGCAGGAATGAGCAATTTGGGTAGAGAAAAAGCCTCCAATGTCTCACTTTTTGTGCAAGTATGTTTTCAATATTGTTGCCTTGATTGTTTGTATGATCATTGGTCCAATCAAATATACTTTAGTTTAAATGCTACAAATGCAATTGCAGTTGATGTGATCCCATACAGCCTTATTTCTTTTTGCAGATAACAAAAAAGTAATAACAAATTTTGTTTGTTTGTTGACTCCATATCTAATTAGTGGCCGTTTTTCTTTCGTGGGGTTTTGTTATATGATATTCATCGAAAAGAACTATGGATGTTCGGATGTCATCAACTATACATCTTGAGTTGCTGCATTTTATTTTTCTTTAATCCATATTTTGTGACCTATTATGCAAGTGCTAGTTTTTATTTTTGATGGAGACAAAACCAAATTCACTTCCATATATGCATGTGAGTTGGACAATGTTTAGCTATAAAGTTCATATTTTTCTTTCTTGGGGAATTCTGATCTTACATTAATTTAAAAGAATTATTGATGTTTGGATCTTATCAACTTTATTGATTTATAGTTGCTTCATTTTTCCGTAATTGAAAGCTTTTCTTTGCAGTTTTACCCAGTAAAGGAAGGGGGCTTTTGTAGTAGTGTATTGATATTGAGTTGCTTCATTTTTCAAGTCTAAATGTAGAATTAAGGGTCTCAAGTGTGGCTATTACTTTTTTTTTTTTCCTCCTATATTGTTTAGCTAAACTTAACCTTGTAAATTTTTTCCAAAGCTGATAACTTTTTGATTGAATACACACACACACACACACATATATATATATATATATATATGATGTATGCTGTTTGTTTCAATTACAGGAAGCCCTTGAAGGCATTGAGTTTGCTATAGGTGACCCAAGCTCTAAATGGGGGTCTGTACGAGCTGCAATGAGACACCCTAAACCTTTTGACTTAAGATATGTTGCTGTTGGAAATGAAGAATGCTACTCTACAGAAAAAAATGCTTATAAAGGTTTGCATCTTGTTCTAACTCAATTCTTTTGTTTTTGTTTATACTCTTCTAAGTCACTTAATTCCGAGTTATTAAATGATTAGAAAGTGCACCATGATAATGGTAATTGACATAAACTTTTACTATATGAAAGACCTCTTGTCTATGATCGAATAATTATAGACATCTATTGAGAATGAATGTGATTTGATAGTAAATTCTTAATAATGTGACATTGAACTCTCATCTATGAATTTATACTTTGAAGTTAAATATATGGTTAGAAAAATTTGTCATGATGTCTATCCATTAATGATCTCTTCTAAATTTCTAGGATTATTTGTCTTTGATGAGTTCTTATATGATTTAATAAAATTTTCATCAATTTAATAAACCCTAAAGCCCAAATGTTACCTTGCTCTTTTACATTCATAGATATAATATACTTACTTTTTTTTTCTTTTTTTTTAATGAGTAGAGAACTATCCCAAGTTCTACGATGCGATAAAAAGGTACTATCCAGACATCAAAGTAATCTCAAATTGTGACGAATCTGTGGATCAACTAGATCATCCAACTGATTTATATGATTTTCATGTAAAATTTTTTACGCGACTCTTGTATATTCAGATATAAAATGTTTTCAATTCTTCTCACAATGAAAGTAACCTTGTTTTTATTCTCTTATTCTTAAATAGATTTATACAAATGCCAGTGACTTATTTTCTAAGGCTCATCACTTTGATCATACATCACGTAGTGGTCCAAAGGTATGCACCTCTATAAGATCCATAGTTTTTGTTTTGATTCAAACCAGGGAATCATAGGTTATTCAATACTGTGCAGGTGTTTGTTAGTGAATATGCTGTGTCTGGAAAAGATGGTGGCATGGGAAGCCTTTTAGCAGCACTAGGGGAAGCTGGATTCCTTGTTGGCCTGGAAAGGAATAGGTTTGCCAATGTGCATAAAAATCCAAGTGGTTATCTTTTGTTTGAGTAAACGAATGTTTAAGTAATATATCACACAAGTTTCACTATTATTTCTAGCTCCAATTTGATCACAATCCAAGTAATCTTTAACTAAAATGATGGTAAACTACTAATTATAACTTTATTTGTTGCAGTGATGTTGTTGCAATGGTATGCTATGCACCACTGTTTGTGAATGTACATGATAGGAGGTAATTTCACCATCTTTTGAATTTATAAAGTCTTGTCATTTTTATTTACAATTTATTCTATAACATTAGAAAATTTTGTCTTCTAGTTGGAATCCGGATGCAATTGTCTTCAACTCCAATCAAGCATATGGAACTCCTAGCTACTGGTTGCAACACTTTTTTACAGATACAAGTGGTGCAATGCTACTTAATACGACCCTCATCACAAATTCTTTAACTCCAATCCTTGCATCTGCAATAGCTCAGCAGAATTCAAATGACAACATATGTTTTTTGAAAGTAAAGGTATTTACTAGCTGCTCTTGAAATGAGTTGTTTTGTTTATATAGATCTTCTAGCTTGCTAACCATTTGTATGTATGTTACTGCGGTGCATGTGCAGGTTGTGAATTTCGGGAGCAATAAAGTAAATCTAAAGATATCAGTGTATGGTTTAGAGTCAAATTCAATAAACTCGTCAAGATCGACTAAGACTCTACTTACTTCCAACAATGTAATGGATGAGAATTCCTTTAAGGAGCCAAACAAAGTATAAATCTTCTCTCATTCATTAATATTCTTAGAGATTGAGGACTTTTTTGTTAATAAGCACAATTGAATTATTATTATTATTTTTAACTCCGGATATATAGGTGGTACCAAGAAGTAGTCCACTTGAAAATGCTGGCAAGGATATGGAAGTTATAGTATCGCCACACTCGGTCACTTCTTATGATTTGATGTTGGAAAGACAATGCCTAGGTAATCTTGATATTTTTAACATCATGACAGAGTTGTTATAATTAGTTTATACATTTAGTATTACTACTTTTGAATAATAGCTATTTAAGTTGTGATATAGTTCGAATTGATGATTGATAGGGCTTGTGTAGCAGCACATGTGAGTTTGGGAGGAGTAGAAGTGCAAGTTAGTTTCAGCTATTGATTAAGGTAAGTAAAGTTTTGCATTATATGTATGTATGTATGTACGTATGTATGTATGTATGTAGGAGTGTTCGGTTCTGGGTAACCTACATTTTTTGAAGGAATCAAAACCGGAACCTATAACAACAATTCTGGTTCCGGTTCTGGGTACCCTATAAAATTTTAATTACCCCCCAAAAGTTTTTTAAATGGCAAAAAAACCCTTAAAAAACTTACAAATACCTCCCTCCCCCCCTCCGTGGCACTTGTTAACAAAAATAAAATTACAAATTCAAAATTACAAACTCCATTGCTTTGTAAAAGTAGATTCTGAAAATTCAAACCAACTTACTTTAAATTTTTATAAAATATAAATATAAATGTAATCACATTACTTTTTCTACAGAAGTTTTTATTAACACTCCAACTCTTTAATTTTATTTTATATTAGTCTCCCGGTTCCAGTTCCAGTTCCTTATTGTAGGAACCGGAATCGAAACTACATAGTGACGGTTCCAAAAATTAAGAACTGGAACCTACCTGTTGACGGCCGGTTCCGGTTCCAATTGATTCTTTTGAACATCCCTATATGTATGTATGTATGTATGTATGTATGTATGCATGCATGCATGTATGTATGTATGTATGTATGTATGTATGTAGAATACCAGATTTAATTGTTTTACGGTCACAAAGAAACAATTAAAGCAAGAATATAATCTCATTACCATTTAGGTAAAATAAATATGATAGTGTTACCATATATACATTCACATGCGTGCATGATTTTATTGTGATAGTTGAATTTAATACTGTTAAACTTATGTGGTATCAATATCAGATTTAATTGTTTTAAGCAAGAATGTAATCTCATTACCATTTAGGTAAAATAAATCTGATAGTGTTACCATATATACATTCACATGCATGCATGATTTTATTGTGATAGTTGAATTTGATACAGTTAGAACTTTTAATACCAATTCTATCTTGGGTACATTTATTAATTTACCATTTTATTATAATATTAATGTGATTGATATTTTTAATGTTAACGTTTTAATTGATTGTTAAATGGAGTAAAATGATAATGAAATTGAAGTTTCCAATAAATGTTACTATATATATTAACTTCCTTTGTTGCTTACTGGCTATAAGTAATATCTTTAGAGAGTAAAATAATCTCTTAAAAAAAAAAAAAAACAACAACGAGGACCACCAAACTTTCAGGGTTTTTCTTCTTCTTCTTCATTATGTTATTATCAGGTAATATATTCTTCTTAATATTTTTCCATGCTTCTAGTTTTTTTCATGGTACTCTAATCTGGTAATACATTTCGCTTAATATTTTGTATTAAATTCATATTTTTCATATTTAACGATAAATATAATGGTTTTTCATCTTTTAACTATACTCTAATGTTTGATGATTTTTGTGCTAATGTGAATTTGGAAAAATGAATCATATATATTTTAGCATGACAGGTCTATATTAGTAATTTTAAGTCGATAATATGTATTGTTACCCTATATAAATTTCATAGCTATAGTTGACATTGTGAGATTATAATTTATAGGCACAATGTTTGATGAAGCACAGGCAAAGGAAGATGATTGTGATTCTCACTTACCTCTTCCTGGGAATTGTACAAAGGTTCAATGTCTTAATGCTTGCATGGATAAGTATAAGACTTCACCCAAAATCATTATCAATGCTGGATGTGAAACAAATGATAAGTGTTGTTGCATCATTGGATAATATGATGTGATCCTTTATTGATGTTATTATTATTAGAGTAGGTGTCCTAGAGCCAATCAATTATTATAAAATTGACTCTGTAATAAATGTTTATTTATCAATAAAAGACATATTCTTCTATATCATGCATATAATGATATATGTCCTTAGGATGGTAGAACCGTGATGAGGGTATCAAGTGTTTCAAATCTTGATAGTAAGAACCTTATGATCACATATGGTGGTCATTCTAGAAACGTTCGTAACCCTAGTATTATTTTGACCAAGGACACAGATAATACGATAAGGCTATCATAATGTTAAATAACCCTGTCGAAAGGCGGTGACTGATCTCATTTGTCAAGGTTGTTTGCCGACAACCTAGTGCAACGCATGGGTGCTTGCTAGAGGCAAGTTCATTGGACATACCCACCAGAGGATTCCATATAGATGGTAACCCCAGTGTCTATAGAATAAATCCTCTAACGGATGGTAGTGCATGTGATCCTTAGACTTGAGATCACTGGAGCACCTTGTGTATCAATTGGTGTAGTTTGACACTAGCCCAACGTAGTTCTATTTAAAACTATCAATACGGTAGTGATTAGCTGCATTGAGAAGTGTATCGAGATTATGGTGGATCGACAAAGTTCATCACTCCTGGGGTACGAGAGAAGTTATCTCACTAGGTAATTCAGTAAATGGCAATGACACTAAATCTGTGGCCACAATGGGATTGAGTTTATGCTCAATCCAATTTAATATTCCTGTTATTGGCATAGTAACTAAATACAAACATGTCGAGAATATATGAGGTTGACACTATTTATGTACCTTAGTCTTAATGAATAACAGTTGATAAAATGATTTGATTGCACAGTAACCGTATTGTTGACATGTTGCGATTTCGCTGAATCCGAATCTATCGAGTGGCCATGATGCCTTGCTAGGGGTCAATCTTAGTCTGTGTGTAGTGAGACGATTAATTGGTGTTAATCGCGATATTGCTCACTACCGATATGATAAGGAGCTTACGAGTCACACACTTAGAAGATAATTTAAGAATCAATTTGTGAGAAAGGTATTTTCATCTTTCAAGATGAAATAATATTTTGGTAATCTCACAGTGCAAATTAAATTTGCTGAGATTGTTACCTGCATTTAATTTTATTATTAAAATTAAATTAGTGAGATTATATTTAAATATATCTATTTATATGTTTAAATGAATTATTATTAATTGATTTTAATTATAATAATAATTAATTAATTAAAATACCATAAAAGGTGTGTTTGGTTGCAAGGGTGAACTAGGGTTGGAGCCTATGGCTATTCCTAAGTGGAATAGGGTTTTAATTGTTGCACTATATAAGTACAACTTAAAATTAAAACATAAAGTGAATTATTCATTCAATTAAAACCCTAGCCACCCTATCTCTCTCTCTCAAGAGGAAAACTTTTCTTTATTCTTCTTTCTTGATTCTTAAAGCCCTTGATTATTCTAGCAAAATAATCAAAGGTTCTGCGGATTATCTTCGTGTGGACTTTCGTGAGTGCGATCCTACTTTAAATCGATTAGCAAAAAATCACGTGAATAGTAGACATGAATAGTAACTGATGAACAGTGTTTGTGTTCGAAATTAGAGATATTCGGAGAAGCCTTCAAATGTACGTAAGTATTCTAATCCTTGAATGGATTTACTTTATACAGATTTTTGTTTATAAACATGGAAACAGTATAATCTATACTCGGATCTAGGCAAAGAAAGGTAATTGATTTGCCGATTGAATTTTTGTTTTCCGCTGTGTATGATAGATCAATTACTTACTGTTCAAAAGTCCCATTAATAAATAAAATTTAATTTACATATTTGTCTCCCGTGTCCCTTTTTTTTTTTTTTTTTTTTTTTTTTTTTTTTTTTTTTTTTTTGTTTTTGTTGTGTTAATGCATTATTTGCACTATCAGGATTGAGTTTTTCTGCTCTGCTTTCACATGTGCATTATTGAATCTTCTTATGAAAGATAATTTAGTTGTGTAACTGAACGAAAGTGATTGTTTGGTTCTTTAAATTTGTTGAGTCTATATATTATATTAGGAAGTATTTGTATTAAGACAATAATATTAACTGAACAAAAGCCCTTTGCTACTCCTCCTTAAATTACCATTTTCAGTACATAATAAAGGAATAAAGAAGAGGCAATTCGAAGCTTTAGATTGAAAGCTTATGTTTTCAATAAAAGCTTAAAACAAAGATGTGATGAAACATATATGATTTGATACAAAGGAACTTATGATTGGGATACCAAATGTTTCTCATCTTCTTTTTTAAGTAAAGGCTTCTATCCTCTTAGAGACACCTCTTCATGTATCCTCTATTCCATATTCACCTAATCACTCAACTAAGAGAGACACCTCTTCATGTATCCTCCATTCCATATTCACCTAATCACTCAACTATGCAATCAAGAAACACAAGCAAAATTGTAACAAAAAAGCTTCATGTCAAAACAGAGCAAGCACTTGTATCAACTAATTAAGATGGCAATTACACAAATCAAATTGATGTTCAATCTCATATTCAACCCAAAATTCGAGGCTTCTCTTGCTCCATAGAAATATGCTCCCTCTACTACATTTGTGACACCATTCACTTTTTTCTCAGAAGTAGAACCTGAGGTCCATGTTTCCAAAGAGATAAGTTGGCATCAAGCATAAAGGGGATAGGAAATCAGAGAATTTGAAGCTTTAAATGAAATATGGGTAAGAATTTGAAGCTTTAGATGAAATATAAGTAAAAACAGAGCATTTGAAGCTTTAAATGAAATGTGAGTAAAAGCTAAACAGAGCATTCAGAGAATTTTTCAGTTTAGATAATGAACTCTAGGAGATCGATCTCATGAGTAAAAATTGATTTGGTGGCCGATTTTTATTTATTGGATTAAAATATTTAGAAATAATAGATGCATGTAGTTTTTTTTTTTTTTTTATATGAGTTTTTTCCTGGTTGTCCAATGGTTATTTTGATATACTCTGTTGCATACTGTATCTGCATCTTTATATATAGGACACAAGCCACAGCAAGAATTCTCAGTTATTTACATTTTCTATATAATATAATTCAATTTAGAAGTATACAAGATTAGAGCAGTGATCATTTTAACTTCTCAATAGAATCCTATTTCATAATATCAACTAAATATTATATAACATAATATCAGTAATATAATAGATGTATAGATGCTACTCACCCTTCAAAATTGACTTGGTGTAAATCTTAAACAAAGTTACATATTTATAAACTTTACAAAATTAGAATATCTAATCATCTCTAGAGAGAAAAAAAAAAAGAAAAAAAAAAGATAATTTGAATAAATCAATATAATTTAATTTCGATCATTGAAAACTCATAAAAACATGTCAATTCTAAATGTTTTAGATTTGATGGTTTCAGTATTGGGTCATGGTTTCGATATAATTTGCTTGTGTTCTGTCCTTAGTTAGAGTTTGTGAATGGCCCAGGGGGCTTGGCCCAGCCCATTTTATTGGATTAGATTAGGCCCAATCCGAAATGAATCTGCCCATTTAGGCTTAATAACCTTTTTTTTAGCGTCTATCTATTTGAAGAGCGGTGTTATTTAAGTGTAAATGAATGAATAAAGCTTCTGAATTTTATTTATCCAGTCATATCACTCCAGCACTGTTACAGAAAAATGAGACTATTATCCAGGATTATTCACATTCACTTCAGCCAGCAAATGCTATAAACCAGGGGATAAAGCCAAACAATCACAAATCTATGAGGGTACAAGCTAGTTTACCAAAACTGGTCATAGCAAGATTTCATTTACATAAATCTAACAAGCCAATATGATCAAAAGAAAAGGAAAACCAGTAGCTTAAATTATGTGGTGGTAGAGTATTCATGTAACCCAATGAAGGAAAAAGGTAAAGCACAACTATTAAAGACTTGAAAACTAATAACTAAACAGCTAGCAGAATGATGCTCACAAAAATTAATCACCTGAACAACTTCATCATTACGAGCACCACATTTTGGAGCTTGTTCCCTTGGAAATACATGTATACTAGCACCAGTAGCTCTCCTAATCTCAGAAATGATGTAGCCTCCTCTACCCAACAAACAACCAATCTGCTGTGAGTGTACAAGAAGCTGAGCAACAACAGCATTACCAGGTTCAAATCCAATCTCAGCAATTCTAGAATGCCACACGCATAACAGCATCCTGAGCAGGAGAGTGTCTCTGCTCTGAATTCTGCAATAGGTGAAACCATATAGAAAAATTAAGGAACACAAAATGATACGTTAGATTCAAAATGAAATATTATTAGGTACTTCAATCATTTAAAATTTCAACAATGATGACATGATGTTATATGACAAGTTTTTGATGCTCAAAGAAATCTAAGTTTGGTATAACATCATCTGGCCTGGCTACATTGGAAATCTAAGTGTGATATGTTGGATGACAGATTAGATCCACAACTCCCAGTCACACCCACCAAAAATGATCCACAAACCACCAAAATGAGAGCAATTGTACAATAACGTCCTAACTCCTCAAAGACTAAACCAATGAACAAAGTCATACCTAAAAGGCAACAAAGAAAGATATCAGGCAGGAACAGTTTTGAAGGCCTGAGTAATGGCTTAATATTCTGACCATGACAAAATTCCCATTAATTTACCAGAAATTCAGCCCAAAGTTCCAAAAGTTTTTGCATTAGTAATCAAACACGAAAAGCTCCCTAATTAGCGAAAATAAAAGAATATTGCAGCTCTCCACAGAGTACTAAAGGAGTATAATTTAGAGACTGTTAAGTTCCCATGCCTCTCGTGCAGATATCAAAACCACCCACTCATCTGAATCGGGCACAACATCTGCAATCTTGATTGATGCACCAGTTTCATTTTGAAAAGTCCGAACTATAGAGCCACCTTTCCCTATCAAACTGCCAACTTGTCAAGATGGCACAACAGCTTAAAGACAACATCCTCTTC